ATCCTCTTCCACTCAAAGCACTGAATCATTGATCCCAAAGTCAAGGTCACAGTCCGTTGGGCTAACCCTGCTCCAGGACAAGCCCTCCTTCCCAATCCGAACGGTAGCAACTTATGGCTCTCCTTATTCTCTTCCTTCTCCAACCTCTCTGGTTTAAAACTTTCTGGTTCATCCCAGAAATTCGGGTCTCTGTGAATGGCAAATGCATTTACTAATACCATAGTGTCTTGCGGCACATCGTACCCACCTATGGTGCAGTCTGCAGATGCCATATGAGGGACAAGAAGAGGGGCTGCTGGGTGCACACGGAGTGTCTCCCACATGATGCTTTGTAGGTAATGGAGCTTTGAGACATCCGGTTCGTCCATCAGCCTTTCTTCACCCACTTGAGTGTCTATCTCTTCTCTAGCCTTATTCAGCACTTCGGGGTGGTTGAGTAACTCAGACATTGCCCATTCTAATGTGACAGCAGATGTGTCCGTTCCAGCAAGTATCATGGTCATAACTAGCCCTTTTATGATTTGATCGGTGTAATATTCAGGTTCTGATTCCTGCAACGAAAGGAGATGATCGATCATTGTGTTTCCCATCTTCGTGCTGCGATGCTCGTCAACCAACCCTTGCAAGAACGCATCCATTCTTTTGGCAATGTTTATAACTTTCTTTTCATAGTTCCCAATCCAATTCAACAACGGGAAGAAATTGCGTCCGCCATTCCCTATTCCACCAATTTGGATCATCTCCGCTATCAGCTTCTTGAATCGTGTTGCCTCCTCATATTCAGTCACATTCTCCCCATAATATCGTTTTCCTGCAACCATTCTCATGATATTGTTAAACGTTAAATCAACAATCATTGATTTCAACTCCACTTTCGCAAAGTCTTCTCGTGAATTATGAGATAATTTCACCAAAAATCGCCTCACTTCATCTCTTCGTATCCCAAGAAACTTGTTGAGGCGGCTAGAGGAGAATATTTCAATGGAAGTGATGCGACGGAGATTGCGCCAGTGATCTCCGTATGACGAGGCAACCACCGTGGTGTGGTTGTAACCTACATGCTTCCCCGGAAGTGATTTTGGCCTATTGGCCAAAACAATATCGTTCTTGGTGAAGCACTCTCCGGCGGCTGATGCTGATGATATGACAACAACAGGGAGGGAGCCAAACCGAAGGGAGATGATTGGACCGTACTTATCGGCGAGGCTACGGAGTGAACGGTGAGTGGGCGGTTTTAAGAGATGGATGTGGCCAATTATGGGGAGAGATGGTGGGCTTGGAGGAAGGTTCTTGTAACGTTTTCTGGAGAGAAATAAGAAACGGAAGGCGAGGAGGAGGGTGAGAGCAAAGAGAGAAGAATACAGGATGATATGATCTTCCATGTTTTTGAACCTGTGTTTCTCCGGTGGAGCGCGTATGCATGTATAAATACTATTGACAAAGGGTAAAAGCTAAAGGACATGTCAGACATTATTACTATTTTTTTAATAGAAATGTAGAATATTCATTTGGGACGTCAGGTATGTTGTGATGTAAGCCCTTACGTCAAAGGTGCGCGTCTACCGATACTAGTCCAGCAAAAAGCAAAGTGATTTGGGACTTCTGTTTAAAAAATAAAATGACTTGGGAATTTGGGACTTCAGGTCCTGTTCCACGACGTTTCTTGCTGACGTAGTGGCATGCGTAACGGCACTAATCTTATCCAGTTTCCATGTCAGATATTTTGCCCTTTTTTTAATTTTTAATTAATTAATTAATTTTTATTTTTTTTACGTACGATACTTTGCTTTATTAAGAAAGCATCAGCCTTTGTATATAGATCTTTCCTGAACAAAGAAAAATATAGGGTTAGGAAAATATAAAAAGGGTTTTTTAAA